ACGGTTGCGGACGGTTGCGGACGGTTGCGGACGGTTGCGGACGGTTGCGGACGGTTGCGAACATAGAAACAACGGATCGCGAACAAGCCTCTACCCCCAGACCCCCAGAGTTAAACGAGAACCCTTCGCTACGCATTCGGGAAAAATAAGAAAAATGGTCGAACATGGAAAGTCGACCTAGCACACGAAGAATCACTGCAGCTTATTCCTAATTAACCTTACTCTGTGGCCAAAGCCTCTGTCAACACCCTTTCATAGCAGTTTCTGCCCTTTCATAGTGTTTCTTAATCACTTCCACCCGTTCAGTGGATGCCTTTCGTCACTGAACCGGTGGAACTTCCTGATGACCTTCTCCGGCAGGGTTTGGCCAAAGAGAACCCAAAAAGTTTGTGTGCAAAAAGGAAGTTTGCCCCATCAAAAAATGTCGCATGGGAAGGAACAATATGATAATGATATTGACATATACTTACACTGAACTGAGGATGGAGCGGCATTCTGTAGAGCCTCAGAAATCAATAAGAATAAACATACCAGTTTCAACCACAACCTCAAAATTGTTTAAAATTGTATTGAATTCTATATATATACACACAGAAACATGGACACGAGTCGTGATGAGTGGGTATAAAGTGCACGCCTTCCATCTGAAAGTGTCCAGACTTTTATGAAATAAGAAATCTCCCAGGACTGAGGCCAGTGCACGGCCTGGAAGGATGGGAGGATGACTCAAGAGAATGTTTTGCGCCTGCAAGATTCTGGAGACAGCACATCATAATTGAAGCAAATCAGACTCTGGAGACAGCTACTGTAATTCTGCAAGATTCTATATACAGTAAATCATACATCTGCCATGCAAAGCAAACACACCACAAAGCACCACTAGTACTGAGCTTTGAAACTCCGACCTTGATGTCTCTATGCACGATGTTGCAACTGTGGATGTAATCCAAAGCCTTGGCAAAACAGGAAAACCGTGTTGGTGATACGCAAAGCTGAAGAATTTGAAATGTGTTCGTTGAGTCCGTTGTGCGTTGTGGCCACTGAAGGCACGCTTGCTTTGGCGGACAAAAGACATTGAATGGTAGTGACCCGATGACTGCAAACCAGGCTTGCAAAAAAACTCATTGGGTGCCTTTTTAGCTCTTTCACTTCGACGATACCACAATAGAACAGGAAAGGCCTAGCTGTCATACACATTTGTGCCAATGGTTCTGTCGCAACCCTCAATTTGGTGCTCGGTACACTCTGGCAGGCTCTCGCCTTCATCAACTGAAGCCCGACCCCAGCCACGTCCTGCAGATTTAGGTGAAACACAGTTGCTTCGCGGCGCTAAGCTCTGAAATCCCAGTTGAGGCTGTTGGATTACTCAAACATCTTTCATCTTCCCTGCATTTCCTGCTACCAATCGACTGTCATGCAAGGCAAAGCCCAATAATAGAAACAACAAAAACAATGAAACATGTTTGTGTATCCGTATCCTATAATTCAAGCATGATATATAATTGTAAACAGCGGAGGTTCAACTACACCTAAACAAAGGGGTAAAGAACGCTCGCAGACTGCTTCGCACGGAGCCAGATGCTCAAGGCGCCTGCGGCACCAACAGTGAAACGAGTCCGAGGGGCATGAGTGCATTTTCACACCCCCTCTATTTTAGTGGCCCGAGGACTCTCTGGTGTAGAACGTCACCAACTGGCGGCAACGGTCCTGGAACTGCTCTTGCAAGTTCGGCAGGTCTCTCAAGTCGGTCTTCTGCTCCAGCACCCGCCACACCAGATCTCCGGTCTTGGTCCTCCAGCTGGCATAGGAACTCCGGTAGGAAAAATTTTGCAGGGAGTATCGGGGTTGTGGACTCCTCAGGGATTTGGCATTGTGTGCCACATGAATCCCAACACCTTCCACGTAGTGCCATCCACTCCGCTCAGCCAGCTTGTAGACATGGTGCATCAAGTCCTCGTCTTTGGACTCCACAGCTCGACCAGGTAGGTCATTCACCATGTCGGCCACTTTGGCTCCTTTCTTCTTTTGCTTCGTGATTCTCTCGTTGTACTCAATCGACCACTCTCCTTTCTGCAAGGTGTCACGCAGTGCACTATTGTCCATCATCTTCGTGCCACTGTCCACGAAGAGGTTCGCAGTGCTCGTCCATCTCATGGAGGTTCCCGGTCTTCGAAGTTGTTGTCGAAGAGCTGCTAGGCTGAAGGCGAGGCTCTTCTGCGCACCAAACCCAACATCTTGGGAAAGTCTGTCATAGACGTCTTTCGCGTCAGTGACTCCAACGAGGTTCACCTGACAGACATTGCATTGATGTGTCCAGTTCGGCTTGCGACTTCAATCCCTCTGAGCTCGGCGATGAAGCCACGGCAAAGCTCGGCCGCGTCAAGCCCTTCCTCGCATCCCAGCGTCTCTGCCGCGTAGGAACTGCGACAGACCCTTTGCAACCGATGGCTGCGAAAGTCCAGGACGTTGAAGTGCCCATGCTTCCCAAGCATCATCTGCTCATCGGCGAGGAGCACCGCGTAGCAGGACTGGCTGTGCACCTTTTCGGCCGGCATGGCCTCAGTGCATCCACTGGCATTGACATTGCCAAGGGCTGCATCGGTCACCACCATGACACCGCCAAGCTTGTAGTCCACGGCCTTGAACTGCAAGGTGAAGTCCTTATGGCGTTTTGCCTCTTCCACCACTTTGTTCACTCGAAGTGCAGTTCCAACCGTTGCTCGCTCTGACTGCAAGCTGCTCACCGCAAAGGACAGGTCGAAGCGAAGTTGCGCCACCAGCCACTGTAGAGCTCCTAGAACTCCTTTCAGCTTCTTCACCTCAGCGGCGTTGAGCAAGCTTGAGACGTCTTTCCCTCTCTGGCGTGTCAGCTGCATGCCAGTCAGGTTCTCATGGTACCTTGTCATAGTCAAGGTCACTCGGCCATCAGCTTCTCGACTGAAGGTCTTTCCACACCGACTGAATGGCGGGGAGTCCGTAGAACCAAAGCCAATCCGCTCACCAAGTCGAACCAATGATGCTTCAGCATCTTTGTCTCCAGACATCAACAGATCGTCAACGTGGGCTGCTAAAATGCCTGTGAGCTTGTTCTTCTCGTTGAACTTGAGCCATAGTGCCAGGTCAAGACTTGACCGAATCCAGTTGTCCTCTCCAAGTTCACGGGCCAGTCGAAGGTACCACTCACGAGGTGCATCAGCGAGACCAAAAATGCCCTTGAGGCCACACACCCAGTGGGGATTCCGATGCTCGGACCGAGCTTCGGGTTGGTCCCTCTGATGTACAGTTGTCTCTGCACATAGGGGTCGCCCTTCAGGAAAGCTGCGCGCACGTCAGCGCTGAGAAGACACCATTCTGGATGACAGGCGCAAACACAGCAAACAACATGTTGAGCTATTCTTGAAGCCGTTGAAGAATCTGTTCTCAGCTCTCCATTGAGGTTGGCAAGGTCACGAAATCCAGGGACTATGATCCGTGCATTGGCCTTCAGCGGGAGCCGGCATTCAGGAGATCTGAGCTTGGCGTTCTTGTCCACCAGGATGAACCTTGGATTCATGATCCTCTCAAGCTCACCTTTTCGCTCCAACTCTTGTTCCACCGCTCGGGACTCATCAAGGCCTAACACCATCACAGCCTCATTCTCCAGCCATTTCTTCCACTGGTCATCTGCTGCAAGACGGAATTCTTGTCTTGTCTCTTCGCTCATCTCTGACCATCGAAGTTCTCGACCTTGAGCTGCAGTAGTTAGGGCTTCTCTGGTGTCGCTGTTCGATCCGGCTGGCCACTGCAGTTGCAGTTTGTGGACTGTGTTCACCTGTCGCTCTGTTGGGCGAGACCATCTGCCGTCCCAGCTTCCGTGATCATCTTCTCCATGATGGCCATTCTCTATGTCTTCCTGGGCTTTGTTGACTGCCTCCAACAACGGGTGTCTCAGCTCTGCAGAAAGAACATCTATTGCTTTGCCGCCAAGTCGAAGTGGTTCCATCAACCTTCTGGGAACGGCCTCTCGGCCGTCTGTTGGCTCGGAAAGAGCTCGTCTCACAGCTCCCTGGGCTTGTTCAAGCCTGCGACCATATTCAGCCGGCGTCTCTTCAGGGACAACATCAGGTCGAGGGACAGTCGAAGCTTCCGGCTTGCCACTCTCAACAGATAGCTCTTGTCCGGCCTGAGGACCACGCAGGTAGTTCCGTCCACCGCGCAGGTGAACGCCATGGATCACACGTCACCCCGCAAGTGCCATGACTCCACGGATACGAGTCACCGTGCAGGTCACTCGTGACCAATGATCACCGGCTTATAATATATCTATAAAAGCATAAATTCAACTCTATATATATATATATGTATCCACGTCGATAACAAGTCGCGCCCCGGTCGAGTCTCGCCTGTCTGTCGCGCGTCTGGCACCGCTCGTGAGCCTATATATGCCTGCGGAAACGCGCATCACCCGACCCCCCCCACAAAAAAGGAACACAAACAAACAAAACTCCTTCCAACTTTCTTTTCTCCGTCCTCGTCGAAAAAAAATCTGGCGTCTCATCACACCGCGCGTAAGCGGTCCCACTGTGTGGACGCTTGGCGATGAGCCTTGCGCGCCAACTCAAAGCTTCTTCATCTCCCTTGTTTTGTGACAGAGCCTGGCGTCTCGCCTTAAAGTATGCCCTTGACGCAAAACGCTTTTTGGTGTCGGGTCCCTGACCGCGGCGGTCCAGCGCAGCCGCAGGCTTAGCCAGTACTCCGCGCTTGGGCCTCGGTTTCTCCTTGGCTTGCTGCGCAGCAGGTTTCTTCAGCGTCTTGCCCGAACCAGATTTAGCAGCTGGCGGTTCTTCCTTCAGCGCGCCAGAAGGACGCTTGAGGACAGGCCGCACGCTGTTCTGCAAGTCAAGCAACTGCTGTTCTACTGCAGACAATGCAGCGGTTGGCACATTGGTCGAAACCTTTGCCTCCTGCACCTCCGGGGCAATGTCCTCCAATGCCCCTGCGCCTGCACCTGCAGTGCGGTCCATGTCCTCCAATGCAAGCGCTGGCCCCAAGTCAGACTGTGTGCTCACATTCGAAGGCCGCCGATCTGTTGCCGCCTGCTTGGTTGCAACCGCCTGCACGGCCAGCTGCCCGGTCGACGCAACAGCCTCTGCCAATCTACTCAGCGTCGCCTCCTGTGCGCTGTGGTCTGGCCGGTCCAAAACACCCGGGGTGGAACCTGCTGCAGCCAACCTGTTGGACCAACGCATTGGCCAAGAACGCGCAACACGGCCAAAATCCATGTGGAGCGGCTGTGGCGCTGGCGCTGTCCCCGCCGGAAAAGCAACTTCGTTCAACTCCCGCGGAAAATCCTCCAACGCAGCAGGCAAGGTAGTCAAAAACACACGGGGGGCAGAACCGCTCAGGATCTTCTTAATCACAGGCTTGTTCTTTTCCAGTAATTTAAACTTTTCATGCCCAGTCATGCCTGGCACCTTCGTCTGGTACGCCAGTGCGATAATCATCGCCACGGTCATCTCACTGGGGAGTCTAAGGCCTAGGGCATAAGCATGTGCGCAGATGCGTTCCACTGAGGCGGCGGGAGATGTGTTGGGTTCCAGCAGTTGACGCCACATCTCTTCCGTGAGATAACGAGGCAGCTCCAAGAAATCTTGCTGCTGCCGCCGCTGCTGCGAAACCTCCGCTGCATCGGTCTTCTCCGATATAGCAGTCTTGATGCTAAGCAAAGACTCCGGATCCCATAGATCCTCTTGCAACGAAGAAATCAAAGATGCTGCAGCGCTTGTGTTGATTTCTTTCACACTCCGAAGTGATTTCAAAATCATCTCATTCTGCTTTTGTCTCGCTTGGCCATACATGGGTAACTTTGTTAGCCCAGCCAAAAACTTCTGTGATGCTCGCAGCTGTCGCTCTACGGAAGCCATGGCGCCTTCCTCCAAAAATCAAATACGTCTGAGCCCAAAAAAAACTTCAGTTTTCTTGACGCGCGGTGTGCCAATGTTTTACAGGTATCTAAAAACATCCAAAAACATAAGTAGGATAAGTAGGTTATAAGTAGAAATAAGTCTCTGCATGTTTGGACTCCTCCTACTTATAACTACATCGTATGTAGGTAAGTCCCGCGTAACTATGCCATAAAAACACAGTGTACTTACGTCGCACTTATCTACTTACAACATAACTTAACAACTTATAACCTAAGTTACGGTCTACTTAAACTACACTTTAAGTCCATAAGTTCCGCGCGCCTTCTAAGCACTGCGTCCACTAGCGGCTTGTGATCTTCACCTTCAGCTGCTCGATGGTGTCCTTGGGATCCACGACCACGTTCAACAGCACCGCCAACTTCACCAGGTCCCCCTTCGTTCGGGGCATTCCTCCTCGGGGCCCGAGAAGCTCCTGGGCGAGATCTTCTTTCCGGCCATCCAGTTCTGCGATGGCCTGATGAGTGGCCTGAACTAGCGCGGCTTGCTGGCGAGCTCGGGTTGGCTTCTTCAGAGCCTTGACTCCGAACATCACCGCCTCGTCCTCCATGAAGGCTTCCTCCAATCCCATCCTCTGCCGAAGAACCTTGGCCTCGTTGAGGTGGACCAAGGACATGTACTCCATCGCCTTCGGTTGCCAGCGCTTCGGCCACACACGCCGTTTCACCATGTCCTTCAGCTGAGCTTTCCATTCCTCCGAAGTTGTCACCACTGGCAAGGGCACCGGCATGTAGCGAAGGAAAGGTCGCCCCTCCAATGCCATGTTCTCCTCGCCTGTAGTCGAAGTAGGAAGCGCTGCCATCGCGACACCACCGGGGTGAGGACGTCGAAAGGGCTGGGCAGCATCTTCCTCAGGCATCCAGGCCTTGCTTGAGCTGAAGAACTCCGGGATGTAGTGCGCAACCATGTTCAAGTCACCATCAGCATCACTCGAACGGTCGACAAGACGATTGCGAGCTTTCCATGACACTCGACCTTCACATTGAACCTCACAACAACCTCCAACTCCTACGACATGCCAAGACTGCGAAGTGAGCGTCGGCCACGAAGTGAGGGGGTTTGGGGAGAAGGTTCATGGAAAAGTGTCCTGCCCTCATCTTGCTCAGGGGAATCCAACCATCAGTTGAACCTTCTTGGAGGGAAAGTCCAAAGTCGCCCCTAAGCTCTCTCTCTAGGAAGTCCTTCCCAAGCAAGCACCCCAATGAAGCGCATGGGATCTCCGCCAACCAGAGGAGGACCACTTGGTTTTGCACCAGGACAGGAATCCTCAGCCTTCTTAGGCTTTCTAAGACACCGCCATTGCCAAACCTGAAGTAGGGCAAGGCTTCTCAGCAACCAAGCTCCTGATGGGTTCAGGGGCTCGCTCCAAGGCATCCTTCATGTGAGCCAGCCACTCAGCTCCGGAGTTGCATGCGGAGTCCAAAGCCGCCACAAAGAGCTTGTCAGGGTCAAGGCCCACTGCACTGGCTGCGCTTGTCGAAAGAGCCTCAGACAAGGAAGAAACCACATTGATCTCGTGGATGGTGAAGTGAGCAGTGTGCGCTTCACTCCTGTAGTTCGAGGACTTTGGTGAGGTAGTCGACGATGAAGTTCCAGGCTTCTGCATTGGTCTTGGGAACTTTGCCTTTGCCAATGCTCTTGCCTGCTCATTCCGCATCACTTGCCAGTGACCAGTTTGACCACAAGCAAAGCACTTGCCATCCTTTTGGCCTGAGCCTGAGCCTTTCTTGCCACGACCTTTTCCTCCCTTGAAGCCAGTCGAACCAGGTCCACGAAAACCACGATCTCGCTTGAGAGCATTGATTTGCGACCTCGCTTCACGAAGGGTCACCAATGCCTCAACTGCACCTTCCACTTGCTCCTCAATGGCTGCAAGGTCATCATCGCCTTGTGAACCATCAGCCAACTCGTCAATCTCTGTCGCAAGGGCCTCAATGGTCTGTTGAAGTCCCTCAAAGCCAGCTAGGCTTTCAGCATCTGTCGCACCACCGTCATCCTCTTCAGCTGGAGGTTCTCCTTCAGCTTCAAAGGCCTCGTTCTCAGCCGTCACATCGTCGTCATACTCAGTGATGTTGACCGAGCCACCAAAGCCTTTTCCGCCACGCCTCCAGGAAGGGGTAGAAGACGATGTAGTTGAAGGGAAGCTCCTGCGAAATCTGGACAAGGTAGAAGCCGTCAAAGAAGGAGGTCGTTTAACGAAGCTCCCATGTCCGCCTTCGCGGTGTTGGCTTCCATGTCCTTGGCCAATGGACTCTCTTCAAGAGGCGAACTGCCTCTCGTTCGCAGGCTCCATAGTCCTCGGTCTCGACGCCAAGGGTGGTCTCCAACATCTGTCGTTGAAGTTCGGAGAGGGCAAGCTTCTGCTTGAAGAACCATGCCTGCTCGCTAGGGTCCACAGTGATTCCTTCGGCCTTCATCTCTCCGATCAAGGTCCTGTACCGAAGAGCGAAGTTCGGCACACTCTCACTGCCACCACGACGAAGCTGCAGGTAGTACTTCTCCCGAAGCTCACCCTTGCGGTCTGTCTGTGACCTCCCAACCATGTCGTCCCAGGAGGCCAGGATCTTCTGGATTCCGGCGTCGTAGACCGCGGGTGAAATCTCGATCATCTCATCGGTCTCATCATCCTTCACCTTCTCAGCTGGAGTGTATTCAAGTTCCTTCGGGTCGAACTCCAGCGCGCGTAGTTTGGCACTTCCTGTCTGCCTCATTGCGAAGCGGGCAGCTAGGTTGTAGGAAGTGGTCTTCTCCAAGTCGATTGAGTGCAACCGCCATTGGACGGATTTCTTGAACTCTCGAAGCGTCTCGCTCCGTCCATCCCAGACCGGTATGTAGCTGTCAAAGCCTCGGTCATCCTTCTTCTCATCACTCATCTCCTCCGTCTCGAAGTCCACGATGAAGTGGTCCGCCACCAGGCAACCTTCAATCCCTCAAAAGGGAGAGGCTTTAAAGGAAGTCCGTGTCCAGGTCGTCCACGTTGTAGCTCAGACGTAGTCCAGACCACGAAGTCGAAGTTGACCAAAGCCAGGCCAGCACGGCCAAGTTGGGCAGACCGCCCAACACCAAGAAGTTGCGTGCCAGCAGGCCAAAGCAAAGTCCGCGTCCACGAAGAAGACGAAGTAGCTCTAGCGAAGTCCACGCAGGGCAGCGCTATGGCACGAGGGTCGACAGCTCCGCTGCCACTGTAAACAGCGGAGGTTCAACTACACCTAAGCAAAGGGGTAAAGAACGCTCGCAGACTGTTCTGCACGGAGCCAGATGCTCAAGGCGCCTGCGGCACCAACAGTGAAACGAGTCCGAGGGGCATGAGTGCATTTTCACAATAATAAAGTTATATTGCCTGACTTTCCATCGGTGGACTGAGTCGAGAACATCCAAAGTAAGCATGACTCTACCACACCTTAATCTTGGCCTAAGCACGCCCAATATTCCTACCACAGAAAGAGGTAAACCACTATCGGCACTCTGCTGGAGGTTCTCACAAGTGTATATAGTCGGACATGTTGGAAAACAAGCTTGGCTTCTGTGTAGCTAGCACATCCGTGCCTGTTCAACGATGACGGCTAGCTCTGACTTCAAGGCCTCTCATTGGGGAGCACAGTCTACCGTGCAAGCATGGATAAGTTCAGAAATAACACAACAACACACACACACAGTTGTCTTGAGGACACCAAGGACATATCAAATCGTGCTCGGTTCATGACACTATAACGAAAGCAACCTGAGTCAGGATCTCACAAGCAACAGCTTTTGCAGTATGCGATACTAATTCGATGGATAGTGCTTTCCTTGGTAGGTCACCCCTTCTTCCGATGTGAACATTATTCAAGGATGACACTCTTCGAAGCCTCCGGGAAGTAGATGTCGTATAGTAACAGGAATGAACCGAGTGTAAGCAACCGTCAATTTTCCAAACACAACCGAAGAATAGAAAAGAAAAACGAACCGTTCCGCCCTGTTCCGAGGTCAAATCAGCAAAGCGCTTGAGTATAAGAATTTAGATGATGCTGTGAATTACTGTGAGTTACACCATGTTGCTCCTGGATTTGCCATGGAAGATCTGTGACTATTCACTATTCCTTGTCATGATTGTCATGCCAGCCTCAAAAAGTTCCCCCCCCTTCACGCGCTCCATCACCACATATAGAAATCTCTTGTCCTGGAAGGTCATTAGTCATTGGCAGTTACCAAGTCGTTTATTCATAGATCAGCAACATGTTTGATTGATTTGCGTGATCATTTGTTCAGGTGACTCTGCGATAGACGCACAAAGCACTTGTCGAAGGCCGTTTCAACTGCTGTTTCTCATGAACATGTTCGTTTGTACAAGATCACCATTTCTGCAATAGAAGTGGAGTGGCGGTCTCTGGAAAACTTACTTTGTCTGGACAGAGTATATGTCAATGTACACACAGTGACAAGCCATGGTTTTCCGTGGCTGCCACCGACTACATCCGACTACTAACTATCGTCCTTGTGGCAAGAACTTCTTGCCGTGAGGACGATAACGACGTTCGTCAGGGTATCAGGCACAAGGTGCAGCAAGGCCAATAAACAAGGTGCAACAACTGCAGGGACTGTTGCTGCCACCCGAAACCTAAGGAAATTGCTCTAAGCGACCTTTCAAGACGGTCATTCAATGCTGCTCTTCCTGCTTCACTGGCCTCAGCATTCAAAGGTTGTAGGAAAAATTCAGAAAAGAGTGAACAAGTGAGAACCAACCATCCAAACCTCCCAAACCAACGAACATCAATCGAATGCAGCTCTTTCGAAGCTCTCCTCCTTTTCGCAACCGAGACCGCTCGAAAGCGGTGGATTTCGCACCCAGCTGCGGCTGGGGTCTGCGGCGAAATCAAGACATTTGCTTCTAATCTGGCATGGCTATACGTAAGGACTGGGGTGTCTGTACACTTCATCCGAGGCTGATAATCACAACAAATGGCTCTGTGTCTGCATCTGATTATGTTCAAAGTTGTAGTAGTAACAAGAAGCTACTAGTAACAAGTGCATCGCTTCTAGTAACAAGTGCCTTACTAGTAGTAACAAGAAGCTACTAGGAACAAGTGCATCGCTACTAGTAACAAGCTACTAGTATCACAATGTCCGGACCGAAGTACGACCAGCCAGCTTTGTCAGACCTTTTTGGCCTTACAAGTATGCCACCCGCTCATTCAGCTCATCCCTAGGGTGAACACGGAAGCGGAACCAATAGTCCTCACCAACTGGGAGCCACAAAAATATTGGCTTTCAATGATTCTCTCTTTCAACATGCCTAACATGGACAGCCTCAAACACTGCCCAATGTCTGCCTTAAATAGAACTTTGTGTTTGGAAAAAGTAATCGATAAATTACCCTTTACGCTAGTTTTGTGTTGGTTCAAGTTTTATGTTTGCTTGCTGTTGTTTGACGGCGCGTTTCTTTCAGGCCTACCTACACTTCTATTGTAGATTTCTCTTACATTTATATTTCCTAGTCCACATATATATATACAAAACATGTTATACAATGTAGCTAACTGTTTTGTGCGCTTGCACTCTCTATGAAGTATTAAACAGACCCTCCGTGCTTAGACACTGGAGTCACTTGCCGGGCATATTATAGAGAAATGGTCTCTACAAAAAATGGGTGGCAAAGGATAAATTCAATCACTGGCGGATAAGTTCAATGACTGGTACTGGTGATTCTATAGATTACAAAGTCAGATCCAGCAGTAGTAAAATAACGTTTGAAGAATTGAGAACTCAAGCCTCTATATATAAAATGATAAAGCCAATCTCAATAGAAACACAAGAGATCTGAGATCTCTATTTATAAAATGCGAAACAACTCCAAATGCTCTCACCGCATATTTTTCTATAAAATGCAAGTCCAGATCTCAAGTTATCTCCACTCCTCTATAAAATGCTCGGCAAGGAAGGGTTCACAAGACATGCTAAACAAACACCACTAAAACCAACAAACATCCTCTCTACCGTATAATATAAAATGCTGTCAAAGGATCCGGGAAACTACAAGTAACCGGCCAGTCTCTAAAGAACGAGGGTCCAAAAGGCATTCTATAGAGTCAAATGATCGGCATTGTATAGAGGACCAAGCACAAAGGATTAAAAAAAAACAATGAACATGTGTTGCCAAACTCCCATGTTTTTCATCAACATCCCTGATTCGATTTCTTGCATCCTGAGAGGGAGTCTGAGTCGGGTTGTTTCATACCTCGTAACAAAAATATATTTGGCAAACATTATATAGTTTGTGTCTTTAAAGCTGTCGACTATTGCCCAAGCACACCCCGTGAAGGCACCATACAACAAATAACCCCTTCCGGCACTAATTCTAAATTATGTTTTGGTTCGTAGATTATGGAACTCTGTTGCGTTATTTCCTTGATTCTTGATTCCAACACGAAACTATATATATACTCTATATAATATAAGGTTCTTTTTGGGTTGATATGGCGTGGAAGGCTCCCACCGCTAGTTTCCCTTACCAATCCAAGCACCCCAAAGCGACTCACAAAGGATATCCCCACGGACACGCTGTGCAGGCTGTGCACAACACAAACTCAGTACTAAATAGAACTGAACTGAAGTTTGCTGATGCAAGATGCCTCCAAGGGCGTCGGCATCTGCAATTTCAAGCACTTGCTCGCATTGGATTCAAAGCTTGTTGCTCCAATCGGATGCATTTCTAGTTCCAAAAAAAGAACATCTGATTCCCTTTAGTTTCCCTTTCACCAATTCCTATTTCCACAATCCCGAATTCAAATGAACATTTCTCTGATGCCATTTCATTTCCATTTCATAAAGTCCCATGTTCTATTCCTCCAATCCCAAAAAGAGGACATCTGTTCTGATTCCATTTCATGTCCCTTTCAAACAACCTTTTTGAGGTGATGCTGCACTATTTAGTTGCATACATACAAAAGCGGCTTGTCAAACAAAGATGGGCATTACGCAGCAAGCGTTTGTCTACATCACAATAACATGCACTCACTTGCGCTCATTCAATCCGCACAATTTCGACCTCTTTCCCCTGGCTCCTCCCAAACCTTCAAGTTCACCTGCACGAGTGTCGGCCCGTGAAGCATCGAAGCGCTTCGAACAAACGGGCGGCGGCAAAGTTCCAGTCAACAACATGGCATATATAGACGGTGTCTGATCAAGAATTGTTGCTCTTCAACATGCTGTTTACTCGGCAGCTCCTAGTACACACGGCATTCAATGAGATGTGACCAGAAAATCATGTAACATCTATTGACATCAAACTGCACTGCCTACAATGTGCAAACTCTCGACGTGTTCTCTCTTGGTCTTTAGCAAGAGCCTTGCTATATATATATATATAGGTCAGGCTGGTGCCCGATGCCTGACAGGGACTTGGTCTCAAAGTCTCGCTTGTTGGCATATACCTGGACTGCAAAGCCAAAAAACACAATGACGTGTCTGCCTGAGTGAAGGGCAGAAACAAGCCAAGTCAAACAATACGAGAAGGTTGTTACTCGTTGCATCTCGTTGTTATATAGGTGAGACCAATGACTTGCGCAGGTATGCAAGCATTGCATTTTATTTGACACGTTGACACCAAAAGCGCAAAAAACACCAAGGCCTTTCATTGAAGAAGTCTGGAGCTGGTCCTGGCGTCCATAAGCTGAATCTGCACAGTCCAAGCCGAGTTCAAGCTACAAGAGATTCACACAGGTTCTGACTCACAAACCAGGTTCGAACTCAACGCCCTTAGACTTGTTACTACTTTACAGCATCTTCCAAACTACTGTAGTACGTTGGGCCGGGGTGGATGGTTTGAGCAACACTCCATCTCAGGGCAACAGTGTGGCCGAACCAGCCGAAACGGGTCCTGCCAGAATTGCAGACCACAATGACTGGGTCACAGGTCTGACCTGTCAATTGTATTCAATTGTCATCGTTAGTAGGTTAGAGGCCATCGCGATTAGGTTCACTCTCCCCGTCCAGGCTTTATGGCCCAAACATCTAACGCCACAGGCCTGGCTTCGCTCCTTCTCACAATCGCCCAAGAAGGTACCCCATCGATTCCTGAGTGCCACTCAGAAACCAAATGAGTTGAACCATCCAGAATCGTAACCCTTTCGAATCGATCCCCATTGTCCGGTGCACATCTCCCCATCCTTTGTTGCTCCACAGAGAGTCGAGGTGTTGAAACACCAACACCACCACTGGGTCCACATCCGATCCCATCCGATCACCCAACGCCACCGGGAAAGGCACGCAGACTCGCACGGTTCAACCTCCGCAGACTCGCCAGGACTCGTAAGGACCTCACGGCTGAGGTGTAGCAGGAGAGCTGAGCTGAACTCAAAGGCAGCAGGGAACTGCACGATCAACTGGTAGACCTTCACAGTGTAACGTGTTGGACATGTAAACTGCATGTCAGGTGTACAAAGCTGGAGATTCTTCCCAAAACGGTGCATTTGTTTGCGTTGGCTGAATCAGGCTTGCCAAACCAGACTAGTAACTAGTCTAGAGCATGCATTCTAGCCTGTGTCCAATCTGGGCAAAACAATGCAGCCAATTGTTCAATGGCGCTGCGGTGCGGCAACAGTCACGAAATAGGTGTCCAGGGCATCTGATCACTCTATGCTGCCAAGTTGCGCACTCTAACCACTGCAGGAAAATAGGGCTGTACCTTTATCTGTCGCAAAAGATGTATACACATATTATATAATTGTTGTAACATTAACATTATTTATTATATAGTAGTACGTATTCTATATACCTAGAAGTGCCTGGGGCAACAACTTTTACCTTAGTGCCATTCGCCCGGAGGATTCGTGGATTTAGGGAAAATCAGGATTTACGGTTACGAATATGCGAAGCCAGCCGGCACCTTTTGCGGCATGAAGGACTGCATGTAGCCTTCTAAAAGCTATCGCCACTACAAAAAAGGATCAAATTATTTGTATATGTATATAATTGTATATATATATACACACTATATATATGGTACTGCCCCCGTGGTGCCTAGGATTTTGGGAAATGAAGCACAATGCACAACTGTACCACGCATGTACGTCCACTGAACAACAAGAAAGCAAAAAACAAACCTATGATCCAGTCAAGCCCATACCAAGGCTTGGATTGATGTGTTTTAAAGCTATCAGGGGTTAAGGTATCAAAACGTAT